GTCACTTGGTTTGTTATTGTAAGTAATCTTGCATTCACATGTTGGTTCTTCAATAAGCATCAATATTTATAAATTTTGCTTCGCAACTAAAGGTTTATCACTCCCAAGTCACAAGCAATTCTTAGACGCAGTTAGAGACCTCATTTAGAGGGTTAATAACAGGAAATGTACAATTGGTTGACAATTTATCTCTTCTCGAGGAGGAAAGGAAACAAGTTGGACAGAAATTAGTCTGAAATGTCCCTTCGTTCAATTTTTCTTCTTGAAAGAGGTTGATAAATTGTATGGTGATTTATTTTTAGGATTTTGATTTAATTTGATTTATTAGGCTGATTACATGAAGAAACATGATGTCAGTGTTTAGCCCCCATTCAGATTATCATTCTTTGCTCCGACTGATAAATGGGGAAATCAAACCCTTTAGAATTTTGATGATTGAATTAATAATATCCTATGCTGTCATTTGTGATATTTTTATGTCAACTTGAACTGATTATTGTTGTCTTGCTTGCTTATCTCTTGTTGATATGTGATGTTGAAGGGAGATATTTTGGAAGACCCAGCAAATGAGCCAAAGAAGGATATGTACATGATGACTGTTGACCCAGAGGATGCACCTGATAAACCTGAGTAAGTTTGCTTGTTTAATTTGTATATCCCTATCTGCCTCGTAGTAGGGCTTTCAGTTACTTGATTGCATTTGCTTTCCTATCATTGACAATCCGTGCAGATACGTAGAAATTGGGATAGTTTCAGGAATCCCTGTTTCAGTCAATGGAAAGGAGCTTTCCCCTGCATCTCTTCTTGCCAAGCTAAACGAAATTGGTGGGAGACATGGAATTGGTCGTGTTGACATGGTTGAAAATCGGCTTGTTGGAATGAAAAGCCGTGGAGTTTATGAAACTCCTGGTGGGACTATCCTCTTCACTGCTGTACAGGAGCTCGAGTCTCTAACCATTGATCGTGAAGGATTCCAGGAAAAAGATAGACTTGCTCTCAAGTATGCCGAGCTTGTGTATGCAGGCAGGTGGTTCGACCCACTTCGTCAGTCCATGGACGCCTTCATGGCGGAGATCACAAAAACTACTACCGGAACAGTGACTGTCAAATTGTACAAAGGATCTGCTACTGTAGCGGAGCGACAAAGCCCCTATAGCCTGTACAGACAAGATATCTCCTCATTTGAGAGTGGACAAATATATGATCAAGCTGATGCTGCTGGATTCATAAGGCTTTATGGACTACCAATGAGGGTTCGAGCAATGCTTGAGAAGGGCCTTTGATAACTTTATGGTTTAACATTGTTAGTTCTGGGGCATTGTCTTTGGATTGAAAGATGACTATTTTTGCCTAATAATGTATTCTTATATTTTGAAACTATTGGAAATATTTTTGTTTTATAAAATCTGGACAGCTGGTTAGTCAATCTCACGTGTGCAAGTTGTTACAGTATAACTATAACTATGTAGGAAGTGAATAGTTTCCCATTGAGCTTCACACTTCTCTATAGATTGGGATATAATTGCCCAAGACAAGGCTAGAATTAGAGATACTATTGTTTCAGGTATAAAAGTTCCTACAAAAATGTGAAATGTCCTACCTTAGAGTGCGACTTGAATTATTGATTTACATAATTTAAAAAAACAATTAGGTTAATCTAATTTAGAAATGGATCACTGATTCAATTTGGGTACCTCTACAAGATAAATCTTAACACTGTCTTTTTTATATATTCTTCTCAGTTTTGTTGCTACCACGAGCTTTATGCAATCAATCGAATTATATAGATAACCCTTTAACACAACATAAGTCATCGAAAGGATCTCGAAGACCCATCAAAGTACAAAAGTCAAGATCTTTCAAAAATAAATTTCTATTTGAAGAGTGTATAACCGAATAGATAAGCTCACACTAACTCGTCAATTTAGGATGCAATGGGTCCGAGGAAAGAAAATGACCATTGAGCTTCACACTTCTATATAGATCGGTATATAATTGGCCACAAAAATTATCTAATTTCAAATAAAGGTTAGCTCTAACCACCAATAACAGGTTTGGAATTGATAGTTATGGGACCATGTTTGTGCCTCTATATAGTACACATCTATTTAATAAAAATAAAAACTCAAAAAAACATAGAATATAACAACGATTCAATTCGTTTAGATTAAATAAATAATCTTATAATTTATATTTTAACTTTAAAATCATCATAAAATTACTTGTTTATATTTTACCTATAAAAAAAGAAAAAGAGTATGCATAGCACAACAAACCCTAATACATATGCACCTTATAAGAATAATATTACCTGATGCATTTTCAAATGTTATTAAATTTGTTTTTTAAAGAAACAATATTTAATTACAAAATTTAGAAAAATTTATCAAACAGTAATATAATTTAATTTATATCCATATAAAACTAATGTTAAAGTTTTGATCTATACCGACCGATGGACAACCACACATCAATAGTTCCACCTGATGCATTACTTTCTGATTCTACAAGAATTAGGATCTGTAAATCAGTTTAATTCTTTATTTTCACCTTTATTAATTATCACAAGCATTTTCAGACTCTTTTAAATTAAACATAGCTAATAATAATCAGTCTAATTCTTCATCTTCATCTTTATTATTTTCACAAGTATTTTCAGACTCTTTTAAATTAAACATAACTAACAATAATAAAAGAGAACAAGAATTGGTAAAAAGAATTCTAGACCTTTATGGGAATATTTATATCTTACACGCACTAGTCTCCCTTCATATTTATTGAGACCTAATTCATTATAACCCTTCAATTAACTGTGAATTAAATATTAAAATTTAGTGTTAATTTAATAGTTATATATTTAACTTCATCGACACTACGCTACCTAGGGATGTCAAACGTGTTGGGTTAAACGGTTACGTGTCGAATTAAACGGGTGAAGGGTAAAGGGTGAAGGGTGAAAAATATATAAACCCGTACACGATACGTTTGATATGTTTAATAAATGGATAAAAAATCTCAACACGACACGACTCGTTTAACCCGTTTAATTTTTAAAAAATTATATTAACAAATTTTAATACTCTATTTTTTTTATTGTCAATTGTACTTACCTAAAAAAAAAAGATTTTTTAGCCAAATCTCATAAAAATAAGATTTGAAGGCTTAAAAAAAAAAAGTAAGAGGTCATTACTTTTTATAGACAACTCAACTCTTCCTATCTCCCCTCATTTTTCAATGTGGGACAAATAAGACTTGAAGACTTAAAAAAAAGTAAGAGGTCATTGCTTTTTATAGACAACTCAACTCAATTCTCCCCATCTCCCATCATTTTCCAATGTGGGACAAATAAGACTTAAAAACTTAAAAAAAAATAAAATAAGAGATCATTGTTTTTTAGACAATTCAACCCTCTCCATCTTTCCTCATTTTGCAACTTGGGACAAATAAGACTTGAAGATTTTAAAAAAAATATGTAAGAGACTATTGCTTTTTATAGGCAACTCAGCCATCTCCATCTCCCCTCATTGTTCAATGTAGGAAAAATAAGACGTATCTTTATCTTTGAAGTGTTCCTCATCTCCTTTATTTTGTTTTTGAACTACTACTTTACTTTTTTTTTTTATTGATTTTTTTTACTTTTTTTTTTCTTACTAATTTTTTTAAATAATTATTAATTTATTATTATATTAATTTTATTTAAACGGATAAACGTGTGATAAACGGTTTGACAGGTCTCACCCGAACACGACCCGTTTATTAAACGTGTTTGGCGTGTCAACCCGTTTATTACCAAAACTCGTTAAGATCTCACCCAAACCGGATTAATTTGTGTCGATTAATCGTGTCGTGTCAAATTTTGACAGCCCTCGCTACCATCTATATAATAGAATAACTACTTCATATATACTATTTTTTAAAGGCTACTAAACAAATTTTTTTTTTCATCATTATCCTCAAATAATTGAATAAAGTCAGATTAGTGCTCAATTAATTACTGTAATTAGTTAATTAATCATATCTATTTGTTATAATTGTAGTTATATTAATTGATATTATAATGTAATAATATCCTATCAATGTGATGCACAACCGTTGGTATCCTTGTTAGAGATAGTTAGTAATGTAAATAATCCCACATTAAAAAAGTTGAAAGGGAATGTAAGAGTTTAAAAAGAGAAACACACCATATTTTATAAATTTGGATGGTGGGAAGATTTGGAGGGAAGCTCCAAATATTTTAAATCATTTGGGTCTTGATTAAATTTTAAATAAAATAATCTTTAAAGTCAAAAGATAGACACTTGGGACATCTTGGGCTTGAAATTTTTAAATAATTAATTATTTTTGTATTAATTAATTATTAAATATTTTTTGGCCCAAGAGTTGTGTCTCCTCTTTACATCTCTTTGGCACAAGAATTGTGTCTCCTCACTAAGGTATTATAAATACCTGTATAGATCTTTCAATTGATGTATATATAAAAAAAAAAAATTTATCTATTCTACTAAGGTATTATAAATACCTGTACAGATCTTTCAATTGATGTATATACAAAAAAAAAAGTTTATCTATTCTATTTTTGGGAGAATTTTAGAGTTTGTTATCCGAAATTTTATTTGACTTTGTTAATTCTAAAAAAATTTGCCATAAACTCAGCAACAATATAGTGAGAGCATAATTTCCTTAAGAACAGTGAATACACGATCAAAACCTTCTAATGTGATGAATTCCTATTTTGCTAACAATCTTTGCATCCACCTCAAACAATATCATATCATAATACCCCGTTATGTAACTCCATAATACCCCGTTATGTAACTCGTAACTTGACTGATTATCCGCCCATCCCAAACAAATATCATATCATAATAATACCCGTTTTGTGACTAATTATACGCCCACCTCAAACAATATCATGATTATTGAGGATGATAACGTACGTGACATTAAATGAAATATTTAGCTCAGAAGATGAGTAATTAGAGTGCCACCATTTCACCAAAATAACCACATGCATGCAAATTACACAGTTAACTTGAATAAAAAAGAGAGTGCCTAACCATACAACCGCAACTACCTTACATTGAACTCTTAGTAACCAACTACAAAACTAAATTAAAGGACCTCACCAACTACTAAAGCGCACCATACAGAAGACCCCCAAGCCTTGAAGAACCCTACAATAGGAGTCTTTAACCTACAAAACAGCAGTAGAACCCTCGGATACACCATTAACATAAAAAGACCCCCAAAACTATAATACAACTAGCAGACGTGTACTGAAGAGAACAAAGCATTGCAGCAGAGACAACAAAGTTCAGCTTTTAGTCTTGAACTTGGATTCGTCGATTTCAATTCCTTCCTCCTCCGCCCGCTCTCCCCCGGGCTTGTCGGTAGTACTCAGTCCCCCCTTGCGACCCATCTCCTGGTATCCCTCGCTCCCCAGCTGCTCCCTCCTCGTCTGCCCCCCTTTGCTCCTCCCTACAATTCCCCAACACACACAACAATTTGTCAATATAACGCCATACCCACCTCTTCTACTCAATATTCTCATATATAGTTATCACACACACACACACACATATTCAGTATAACACTGTTGAGTAAATATTGGGTGTGACCATTGCACCATGTGCAACAATCCAATAGAATAAAAAAGATAAAATAAGAGACTTCCAATCATGAAGGTGTAGAAATAATTAAGTATTACATAACTTCAGTGGTTATAAATTTTAAATAGATCTATTTACTAATTTATTTATTAGTGAACCATTAAACTAAGTAACAATATTCGTACTACGTAAACATCATCATGTAAAATCAATAAACCCCAATATTGTAACATAAAAGTTATTAAATATAATGATTACTTAACAGTATCACACGTTAATAATAACATAACATTTTAGAGAGAGAGAGTACCTTCAGCAAGGCGTTCCTGAGCGTCGAGGCTTTTTCCTCCGGTGCCGCCGGGGATGACGGTCTGACCCTCTCTTGCCCTGGCGTCAAGCTCGGCTTTTTCCTGTTCTGAAGACATCTCTCTCTCTCTCTCGAGTTGCAAAACAAGAGCTATTCGAACACTTCTCTTCTCAACGAACACGACGATGACAAAAAAATAATGAATTACGGAGAATTTATAGGGGAAGAAAGAACGAGTGGGGAATGGAGGGTGTGGGATTGAATGACGCGTGGAGGGGTGACGGGGCGATAAGGGGTATGAGCATGGGTGACACGTATGCCATTGGGGTACGAAGAGAATGACACGTACACCGGTATAAGCCTTTGGATCCGACACGCGTTAAGGCAGCAAGAATCCAGAATTAGCTTGGCGGCTGCTTGCTGCTTCCCAATATCACGCGAGAAAATATTCGGTACCAGATTGTCATTGACAGTTGGTATACATCACTAATCAATAGATACTATCTCAAGATAGATAGTGGAGAAAGAAAAATTGAAGAAAAATCTATATTAAAGTGACATTTTTTGATTAGTGATGAATACCAGCGATCAATGACAGCTTGATACTTGCTAATAACAGAATATATGACGACATTTATTGATTGGTAATGAATATCAATTGTCAATGACAATCTGGTACCAAGAAATATTGAATATTTTCTCATACCACGTTGTCCGATAGTGAGGTTTTTGCGACTCTTGGGAACATGCATGTTTTTTCTGTAGGGCTTTTCGTTTAGCATCCCATGCGAAATATCGATTCTTATTTCACCAATCGCTATAAAATTTAAATAAAATTTAAAAATATGTAATTCAAATGTATATTATTTATTAGATGAGTGAATTTCATCAATTTTTTTAGTAAAATTCACTCATCTCACACTTATTTAAAAGATGATATGTATTTGAATTTGAATTTTTAGTTTTTATTTGAATTATGTAGTATTTTCTTTCTTATTTTATACCTTAAAAAATTATTTTTTTGAGCAATGATATATATCCCAAATTTATATCTAAAATGTACGTTCTAAATCAATAAGAATAATTGGATCAGTGGATCTCAATTACAAGACTCACTCATCTAATGGTCCCCCGTTCATTTGAGATGCAAATTTGGATTACAAATTTGGGTTACATGGTATTTTCCTATTTTTTTTAATATTGTATCTTGACTCTTATAAATTAGTTTCAATGTGAACTTTCGGATTAACATCGGTTTTAAATTTTGTTAAAATTTAATACACATGTCATATACTTGTGTTGTTCTTAGGTAAAAATATAAACTTAACGAAATTTGAAACAAATATTACTCCAAAAGCCACATTGGAATCAATTTATGATATTTATTCTGTAAAGTAGAAAAAATAATATTTAGAGATATAAAATGGAAATCAAGGTATCTTTCGAAGTGTAAAATGCAAAAATCCTTTTCTTATATTGTTGTTCATATTTAAATTAATTTATAAGCACTTTTATTAATAATCCCTTCTTCAATATTCGAACAAAGACGGATAATCTATATCGTAAGTTTGTAATTACGAAGTTGGCATGATATCTAGAAAATTAACAAATTTCATACTAAAAATATTTGAATTTACAATTTGTTTTGATTTTCATTGCACTATCCTTGCATAATGCATGTTGATATTGAGGTATTCACATAGAGTTTAGAGGGTTTTAATGTAGTTATTGTAGACTGCAGACATTTCTAAAACAAGATTGCAGACAAATCGTATCAAAAGTTAGAATAAAATAGGAATAAGTAGTTACAATCATTTTGATTTTTTTTTTTAATTTTTAAAATCAAACGTAAACAACCTAAACCAGCTCAATCCATACCATGTAATTGACCATGACCTTTTGCCTTATGTAGTCGCCATAAACAATTCAAAACCAATTGCTTCAACCACCTCAAATTGAAACGAAAAGGCAACGGAAGAGACCGTGTCGCTTTGCATGGCACATGTTTATAGAATATTTAGCGTAACAGTTTGAAGTGTTCGAACCAACTTACGTATGTTTCTATTAATTTTTCTCAGATTCAATTAAAGACAAATTATTTACGCTGAAACTGGAGTATTCATAAGAGATTAACTCTCATGAATGAATCTACTCTAATAAAAAATATATAAATAAATAAAATAAATCATACTTTATTTAATAACTACTCTAGCTATAAAAGAACACAAGATATCTGAAATCAATATCAAACTTCTCTATGAGGTACACCAATCAGTTATAAGTTAGACATGGAGTAAGAATTAACTCTGAGTCTAATGCTGACCACACCAAGTAGAAAATTGAAAAAATAATCGATAAATCATATTTTTTCTCTAAAATAATTATTAAATTTTATTATATTTACTTTAGAATAATTAAATTTTACTTTTAATAATTTATTTTCAAAAAATTTTACTTTGTATACTCAAAGATTAAATTTTTTATATTATATTCTCAATATATTAAAATTTCACTCTTTCGTTAACTTCCGTTACTCATTTCATCAAAAACCACGCCATTGACATTAACAAAATAAACAACGAAAGTTAACAATATGATTACATTATAATACTTTTAATACAACGAAGATATAATGTGAAAACTCTAACATTTAAAGGAACAAAATAAAATTTTCTAAAACTTTTGAGGTACAAAGTGCTATTTTTCAGAAAAAAAAAAAAAAAACAAAAAAACTTGTGGTATATGCATGAGTCTCTTGATTTTTGGATACTCCAGGCGGCGGTAAGAGTCAGAAGAGCAGACCCAGTCTCACAATTAAGTGCCCGCCGGTGACTGACTTCCTCCTACTCGAATTACAAACAATTTATTTAGCGTGTTTGACCATAGACACGATCCAGTCATTCAACACCTCCGCCCCTCATGACATTCCTAGTGGAATATAGTAGTGACCGGTATTATCAGGAGTACACATTGCCACGCGCACTCCATGCACGTTTAACCCCGCCAAGCACATTCTAGAATAATCGAGCGGCTGGTCTAATAAATAGAGAACTTGAATTTATACCCTTAATATTTAGGTTTGATCCTTCAAAACTAGTATAACAACTTGACGGGACTATACCTATTTTTTAGCACACAAAACATTTAGTGGGATCTTAGATTCCACCAGTGGCGGGGGCACAGATGGGCGGGCCTAATTTTTTTTTTTTTTTAATCTATATATATTTTTTAATATCTTTAATTGTATTCACCTCGATGACTTTAAATAAACAAAATTGGATTCATTGAGAGAACAATCTCTTGATTAATGAATTGAGAAAAAAAATATCCGTGTAATATTGAAAGACAATGCTTCTTGAATGACTAATATGTAGAGTGACAATAGAAAAATATCAATATATAAAATAGAAAAATATGAGTTACTATATATGTTATTAGTTTTAATAGTAGAGAGTAAATACGGATAAAAATATAAAAAAAAATGTCAACAAATGTTATTGAGAAAATACTTAAAAAATCATGCTCGCCTTTTACAAAATTTTGATACACATTATGTAACGATAATACAATGTCTTCACCCCTACATAGTGTCACCTATTAATAATAAAAAAATAAATATAATTAATAAATCTTACTAATATCACATAATAATTATTTAATTTAAAAAAAATACCACCGACACTTGACCGTTGGATTGAATATTTTCTCCAGTTCAGGAGATACACACGCCTTTCTTGAAGAGCGTGAAGAAACACATTCTGCCTCCAGCTAGCCAACCTACAAAACGACATCGTCTATGTTTTCCTCGAACATCCTCTATGTTGCTATATATAACCGTGACTCCGCTGAAATCATTTGTCCTTACGAATATCAGCGTCTCTCTGTCTTCCCACTTCTCCCTCAAATCCCAGTTCTGAATTTGTTTCGAAACTCAAATTAGAGGAAATTTGATCGAAAGCAAAAGGCAACATGCAATTCTCTCTAGCAGTAGCAAATTCACCGGTGTTCTCACTCTCACCCAGGGTCTCACCAATCTTCTGTAAAGCCTCAGTTTCGTCTCCTGCAACTCCATCGTCGTCTTCTTTTTCTTCTTCATCTTCCCCGTTATCGCCCCTATCGATTCCATTTCACAAACAAATAAGTGAGTACAATCGGGAATCTAAAAATGAAGAACCCATTTGTTCGACATCGACGCCGGTGACGCTGTTGAAGAGGAAGAGACCGGCGAATATTAATATTCCGATGGCCCCGTTGAGTTTTGATCATATGGTTGGGACGCCAAGAGATTTGGATAAGTTGAATGAGGTGGAGTTTGAAGGAGAGGGCTATTCGGTGTATTGTAAAAGAGGGAAAAAGGGTGCCATGGAGGATCGGTACTCGGCTGTTGTTGGACTTCAAGGAGATTCTAAACAGGTATGTTTAATTAGGGCTCTTTTCAATGAAATTATTTGACCTTTTTTTTTGTGCAAACATGGCTGATTGTTCATTTCAATCGTTGAATGTCATGTTCTATGTATCATGATTGGGGTGGTGGATCTTAGTGTATGGGTAGCTGAATGTATGTGTGTTTATTTGTCTGTGTGTGTGTCAACAGCCAAAGTTAAGGTGATCTTAGGTAGATGGGTAGTTGATGGTTTCAAGAAAAAACATAGAAGTTTAATCTGCAACATAAGGTGAGAATTTGAAAATTTTCAGGAAAACAGTTGATTGATTGTTATAACAATAAGAACTGGGATAGCTTTATTGAGAGAATCATCCTATTCAGACAGTTAATTACTTGTTACTAACATGAAGTAGAAAGAAGAAAACGAGGGTATAAATAGGAATTTTGGTCATTGTGGTAGAATGAATGATGTGGAGGGCGGGCCTTGCCACAATGACAATGTTGCTTCATTGTGACATGGAGGTCATGCCTCTTCGTTTGCAAGGAAAAAACTGCATATATTTAACCCACCCCAGACCCCGCAATGGTGGGAGTCTTGTGCAATTGATACGCCTTTGGTATAATGAATGAAAACCCCCATAAGTGAATTCAATTTATGCAGTTGTAAGACCCATATTACTGTACTAGATCCCGACTTTATGTGGTTCTATAAATTACAGGCTTTCTTTGGGGTTTTTGATGGGCATGGAGGAGCAAAAGCTGCTGAATTTGCATCAAAACACCTGAGTGCGAACATTATGGATGAATTGACATGGAGATGTGAAGAAGGAATGAAAGAGGCTGTCATAGAGGGTTACCTAACCACAGATGCAGAGTTTCTGAAGGAAGATGTCAGCGGTGGGGCTTGCTGTGTGACAGCACTGATAAGGAAAGGCAACCTTGTGGTCTCAAATGCTGGTGATTGCCGTGCCGTCATGAGCCGTGGAGGAGTTGCTGAGGCCTTGACAGTTGATCACCGACCATCAATAACAGATGAAAGAGAAAGGATTGAGCGCCTGGTAAGCAGCAATGTTTCTTGAGCATAAATGAAAATTGTATTAGTACTGCACTTTGACTGTTCAAGATCGTCCATATTGAAACTGATGGGTTTTGTGTCTGTCTTTCTTGTAGGGTGGCTATGTGGATTGTTGCCGTGGTGTTTGGAGAATACAAGGGTCTCTTGCTGTATCAAGAGGAATTGGTGATCGACGTCTTAAAAAATGGGTCATAGCAGAACCAGAAACAACAATATTGAAGATTAGACCGGAGTGCGAATTCTTAATCCTAGCCTCTGATGGACTTTGGGATAAGGTAAAATCAGCAAAACACACTCATCCATTTACCTCTTTCCCCCGTTTCTTTGCATAAATTGATTTTCTCTTTAACGCTTAGGAAACTAAACAGCTTTATACTTTTGTCTTCTTTTTCAGGTTTGTAATCAGGAGGCAGTAGATGTAGTTCGACCTTTATGCATAGGTGTTGATACGTCAGAGCCATTTTCTGCTTGTAAGAAGCTAGCTGATCTATCAATAACAAGGGGTTCCATAGATGATATAACTGTGATGATCATTCAATTGAATCAGTTGGTATCATGATTCGAGCTAGGAGGAAGTAACTCAGTTGATAACAGGCAAATCAGTTATCTGCAATTTTCCAGTTTCAAAGAAACTTGCAGGGGCCTTTGAAGCCAGTAAGCGGAAACTTTTTGTTCCATGACTCATTTTTCCGTGCGGCATGGGGGGGATTGTCCTCAGCAGCAAGAGAAAACAGAGCGCACCCCATTTCCCTGTAAATTTTTCTCCCCTTACAATCAGTGGGTAAAGGTGACTCTTGACACTGACAAGTATAGACCGAGTCCAATCTGATCTTTACTGATGCTTAATTATATTGAGAAAATTTCATCATCATGTTTGGTTCAAGTATTAAGGAGTACTAGATTTCATATTATTTTATCTAATACTTTGTTTGAATAGAATATTGAATAATGATATAAATATTAAATTATTAAAAAACCCTCAAAACAAATTGTGATATTCATATTCTTGAAATTTTTTATGGTAAAATGTTTTTTGCTCAAATACATCCCAAACGGATTAATTAAATCCACCACACTAGGTGATATTAAATATCCGATTCATCTGGGTTGATATTATTTCTAAGTGATAATATCGGCTTAAAATGTGTATCTACACATGAGTATAAGAGGGATAAGGTAGGTCAAGCATTATTTTTTTCAACCTCTCTTTCCTAATAACTAAAGCAAACACATCCTAAATGTATTATAGAAGAACTGAATTATGCAATATGCTATTTACAAATTGATATGCCGAGCGGTTAGCTTTGTGAATAGTTCAACCAATTGGCATGCACCTTAATAAGGCCTACGTCTGGGTTTGAATATCCAATGTGTTGCCATAGTTCAAGATCGCCTCGAGATACATTAGTCGCGGTGCTGTGTTGCGATATTGGAGAATATAATTTTAAAAAAATATTGAATATGATGAGAAATTCAGGTCATATCGCAGCGTTATAGAATTGTATGAGCTCAACGACTCGAAACTAATTCGAATGTAACTCAAATGAATCGGCCAAGTCATAGATATTATGTAACGATATCGTTTCAAACGGCGACAAATAAATTGCTTTTTAGAGTGGAGGGCCGGTTTTGGACAGAGTCCTAGCACTAGTCTGGGAATAGTTGGATTGCCAAAGAAAAGATGATGGGATAGTCGAATACCGAATGTTCAATAAACGTGTTTCATCAAAGTTGACCATGTCAACTCAAATTTGACAACATGTGCTTGTGTAATTACGTAGGAGGGGGTTGAAGTGTAGGTTTTTGTTTTGTCATTGAACCACTTCGGTCAGGCTTGGCAACTGGCTCACTCTTCTTTCAGTCAAGCAGAAGCTTCTTTGGTCTGCGACTTCTAGATGTCCCAACTAGTTCCAACAACCATAGTCTCTGGAGGCATGTCACTTGGCTAACACAATCCACAAACTAGTCCCCTGTTAGCTCGTTTAGTTATCGCACTTTAACAGAATCAATTGTATTAAATAACACAGTCTAATTTTATATAATCGGATAAAATACAAGATTAAATGAGATAAAAATATGACGCATTATAACCTAGTGCAATAGATTAAGAATGAGATAAATAATATTAATTACATATTGACTAAAAAATTATCAATCTTATCTAACTATTAACGTTTTTATTTATTTGATAAGTAATTTATAACTCAATATGCTTGAATTGGATTATAATACCATCGGTCCAATTGTAAGGATATAGTGTATTATTTGGCTAAGTATTTGAAATAAGATTATATATAATACGGAGTGTTTTTTGTAGTCCAATCTAGTATAACGTTGGATTAGAGAGTTTATTCTATTATAATTATGTAATCCATCTTTTAATATTGCAACCAAACTACTGCGGTGTGTTTTTTGGTCGTTTCGGAACATCTTTAACTCTAATTCAAATCTTGACTCAAATTTAAATTTTGAGTAAAGTTAGGTTAAAAACAAAGCTCAAACCATTTACTCAAACTCAAATCAAGTGCAGGAAGATTTAAATATTTATTCAAATTACTAATGTGATCATATTTTATTTTTTTTTAAATATCTAATGGTCATATTTCACTATTTTTAAATTCGATTCTTTTTTTCCTCTAAATTTGAGTTTGTCCATTAAAGTCTTTTATATCAAATTAAACTTTTTGGTTAAATGTCGACTCAAATTTAAATAAAAATTTAAGTCAAGTTTGGAACGACTCAATTGACAAAGTTTTGTCCCAACTTTTTTGGATCGGATATATCAAAATTCTGGCTCCGTTTAGTTTATGTATCAAAAAACAGTATTTGAAAACTGTTTTTAGTGTTTTTTGTGTCGCATAACTTGTTTGACTATATGATTTCAAAAATAGTAAAACCATCTGAATGAGGTCCTCCACTTTGGTTGTCTAGTCGATCTTCCTCTCTCTAAATTAAATTTGTTTAGATAACTCATAAAACAACGAAAACAGAAATATGGTAGTAGTAGAAATATGGTGGTGCTGATGTGGTGGACATGATGGTGGTGGTGGGAGTGTGGTAGTGTTGGAGGTGGTGGTGCTGATGGAAGTGTGTTGGTGTTTTTAAAATTTTAGAAAGATTTTTTTCAAAAATACATAAAATAACTTTAACTTGTTCTTTAAATCTATCTAATTTTTGTTCTTACTTTTCAAAAAAAAAAAAAATAATAATTAGACAAACAACTTTTCTCCTATAAATTATTTCACAAATAAAAAATAATTTTTAAAATACAAACCAAATAAGGTCAATTTCTCGTATTAGTGTTTCTCTGGAGGTTTTTTAAACAATGACATGACATTGCTTCACTGCTTCCAAGCCCAACATAACTTCACCAGATGGAAAGTTGCCCTTTATTCATTTTTTTTGGGAATGTTTTATGCCGTGAATCAATCATTGTTACAGTTTTATTTCATATTCTCCATTATTTAGATGGAATGGTGTTTAGATTTATACCCATTACTTTTTTGAGTTCTAAACTGGTTACTATAATTCCAGTTAATTGAAGGACATGTTTTTTGATGAACAAGGGTGATTGATCCTTATGCTCTATTTGGTAGAAAAGATGAAAAATATGAAGGATGAAATGTAGGAGAGATACACTTTATATCCTTCAAGGATGGAAAGTAGGAATGATACACTTTTCTTCCTTTGTGTTTGGTTGGATGGATGGAAAATAAAAATAATTTTTTTTTTTTGCATTGACTAATATTAGGAGTGACAATCGAGGCAAGTCGTGTCGTGTCAGATTCGTGTTGAATCATTACGGGTTTGTGTCGAATATTAGTCAAACCTAACTTAACTTATTTAACTAATTGGGTCGTGTCGAGTTGCGAGTCGACCTGTTTATTTTCGTATCGAGTTCGAGTCGTGTCATCGTATTGAGTCGAAAATTTTTACCCTTAGTTAAGATGTAAAAAATATATATTTTTAATTTTTTTAAAAATTTTAAATTTTTTTTAATTTTTTCAAAATATATATACATATTTTACCATTATATTTTTATATGAAATTAATGTATATATAAGATATATAGACAAATAAGATATATTTCAACACAACTAATTAACTTTCCTTTTGATTTTGAAGGAGTTAATTTTGGTGAGTTGGAAGAAAAATTAATCCATCCACTTTTTCATCCTTCCTATTTTTCTTTTTTACCAAATATGATATTTTATTTATCCCTCTAACTTTCTATCCTTCTAACTTTTCATCCTCTTATTTTTTTATCGTACCAAACAGAACATTAAAAAATATGAAAAATATGATACTCAAAACTTCTTATTTGTAAGGGAACACGTTTCACCATTGAACAACTCTTACTGTTTAAGTTTTACTAATAAGAGAAAGATGACTATTTCAGGAGAGTCTCAAGTTTGGAAACATATACCTTTCAAATGACAATTTTGCCTATTTATGATGGGTGGACTTTTTTTTTTTTTTTTTGCCTTAGTAAATAATCATTCTCTCATAAATTTTACCATTTTTTTTTATTACTTTTCACTTTTGGCGATTAGGATTATAACATATTTTTTTGATTTAAAAAAAAGGTGACAACTGTTATTGGTAAATAAATCCATCATCACATTGCATGTGGTCAACTGGCTGGTAATCATCACTGTTAGAGTATGTATATATCCAGTGATATACTAAGAGTATATTTAAATTTATAAATGTACATATATCCAGTTACGAAGCCAAGCTTTGGCCTAGGGGGTCATGGTCACCCTCACTTTATAGAATTGCACTTTATACCTCTCAAATTAGCCCTCTTAATTTAAAACTTATTCTTTTACCTAAAAACTATATGAAAAATCATCTTGTATGTAATTAATTTGAAAAAATTTTAATTGATTTTATGAAAATTAACTGATACTATAATTCAAAAAAGTTATTTTCGTAAGTTTTATATAATAACATTTTTATAAATAACAATTGTTCATCAAATGACTCAATTGTTTACGGCACCATTCGAACCCTATAACATAAAAATTTTGGCTTTGTCGTTGCATATATCAGATATATTAAAGGTTCTTTTGGATCATAAGTTTTTATTGGTAGATTTTCGAATCAAAAGCTTAAAAAATTAGAAGAGTATAGTTTAAGCATACCCGATTGAGCTAACCCTACAAATTAACAAAAAAAAAAAAAAAAAAGAAGAGAGGAGGTCCTCACACCCGAAGCACCCTCCAGATCGGAGCGAGCGGTCCAAACCAGTGGGTGCGCATTATCGCACCAAGGCACATTTTAACACGTCCTTGCCTTTCCTCGAATTTTTTATGCGTTGATTGCCCCTCTCTCTCTCCATTTTCGCTTTCTTATGCTTTAAGAAAATTCCAATTTTAGTGCTTCACCTTAGAAATACAATACTCGTCAGTCATCTCTCTCCCGTACGAACCCTCTATTTCTCTCTCTAGATCTCGGTCACTCTCTGTCTATAATATTTTTGGAGGTTAGTGGGTTTCTTCCCTGCCTTAGATCTCGCAGTGCTTGGAATCCCCAAAATCGGCCATTTTGAGTCTTGTTAAGCGGTTTAAATCTCAATCGACGAATCTTTTCATCCCTCTTAGATCCGGAGTTCCGATATCGCACTCTTGACGTCGCCACTATGGCGGCCGCTAATGCTCCGATCACAATGAAAGAGGCTCTAACGGTAAGATTTTCTCAAAATTATCCGGTTCACAACGTTTTCGGCGAATTCTAGCTGATTATAAATGACTAGTTCCGTCTTTAACTAATTTAACCCTGTTTGAATCACTACAACGGCCAAATATTTGCCGTGTTGTTAATTTCCAATTGTTTTGTAGCATATTTATGTGAATTTTACTTGATTTGTTGCATTATCAGTGTTATCTTGC